AGTAAATTTGGAGGCAAGTGAGGCCTCAACTGGGTCCCTGGTGTTAGGCTAAACTGAGGCCCAAGAATTAACTTCCTGATCCTGGCCAGGTTCAGCACTCAAACCTTGACCTTTATTGTTACTTCTGTCAGGCATGGGAAGCGGGAGCCCTTTGCTTCTAATTATTCCACTGTGGCTCCACTACATTCCTAGAGAGAAGAGGTGTTACTTCCATCTTATGAGTGGGAATCAGCACCACCGAGAGGGATTATAATACACAGAGCTGCACAGTGAGGCTGAGTGCCCAGAGGAGGCTGAGGGAGCAGATTCTGCCGGGCAGAACAAGTGTGGCCGTCAGCACATGCTTCACCTCTCAGGGTCTGAATATTCTACCATGAAGACCAAGAGGAGGATTTCTGTCTTTTCAGGTTGCTGAGGGGATAAAATTTGATTGATTAGATCTGTGGTTTTTATTTATTTATTTATTTATTCATTCATTCATTTTGTGTGTGTGGCCAACTCAGCCCACCAGGGGGCGGGGCTGGCTGGCATGTGGTGCTGGGGGATTGAACCGCGGTCCCTGTGTTTTGCTTAGCTTACCTTGTTCTAAGTAGGTGCTTTAGACCACTGAGCCATCTCACCAGCCCCCTGATTGATTAGATTTGTGACCCACAGATACTGCTGTAGGGACTTGTTGGTCTCTCAGTGTATCTGCAGAGAAATGCCCCAGGAAAAAAGGAAAGATAGACAAGAGACAAAAGCAGGGTCAGGAGGCCTTTTTATGTGATGGGCAAAAGACTTCAATAGCAACAATGGGGTGTTTTTTCATACTCTTTCAAAGTTAGTGTCATGAGACACAACGTTGCCTAGCAGGTATTGATTGTAACAGCCCAGGCAAGATGCCTTTCTCAAGACTGAGGCGGCTTGACCGCTTTAGGCACTGTGGCCTGGTCCTGCCCTCACAGGTCAGAGCAATATCCAGCTTCAGATGCTCCCAACAGACTGATCCACAGAAATGATCAGACACTTCGGCTGCTGTGATTATCGTCCACCCACCGCCAGCCCTTGAATTCAGTGGAGGAACATCTGTCCACAACGCGAGTCTGCTGTGGTTGGATGTCACAATGATTGTCCCGCCATGCCTCTCCTCTCTCCCACCCGATTGCCTCACCTCCACACAACGAGTAAAGACTGTCCTGTGAATTGCAAGGCTTTTATTGCTGGAATCCTCTAGACAGACACCTGGACATGGTGGCTTGCTGAGACTACAGAGTGAGTGATCAGGCAGGTGGCTTCTGTGGGTCTCTTGGCATGGATGGGTCATTTAACATAAACGGCTTGAGTATATTTTCTCCTGCAAAGAGAACATCAGAGAGCTTGGTGAGGCCTGAACAATCAAAGAGATGCCAGGCACCTGGATACTCAATGGTCCCTTCCTAGGAGGGGCCTGAGGTCAAATTGAAGTATGGAGCTCTGATCTATGCAGGTGAAGACAGATTCCTCCTAGTCTCCTGCACCAGTAGAGTGTTCTAAGAGCTGCCAGAGGTGGCACTTCAGTGAGGAGAGGAGAGAGAGTCCTCTCTAGGGTGGGGGTGTGGAACAGTGTGGGCCAGACTCCACAGGTTCTGGTGAGAAGGAATGGGCAGAATTAGAATGAACCACTCCCAGTTAGCCTCCTCTCTCACACTCGTAGGAAGTGGGGTAACTGGTCCCCAGCATCTCCTGGGAGAAGAGACAGAGGCTGCAGCTGAGGTTCCAGGCCTGGAATAGGAAAGAGGAGGGGTGTGGTGGTCTCCTCCTTTCCTGGTAGAGGATGCAGAAAATAGTCCTTAGAGATGCAGGATGCAGGAAAAAGTGAGAGATTTTGAGTGAGGAAATGGGAGTTGAACCATTACAAGAAGGACAGGCTCTGGTGTCCTTGATTTAAAGAGGATCAGATTATGTGCTGGGGAGATAGAGGTCAAGGATGGTAGAGCTGCATGTCTGATGTGCAGATCAGGAGGTGGCCTGGAGACAGAGCCTCCTAGGAATCCTCAAAGAAAAAGAAAAAGAAAAAAGAAAACAAATTGTCAGGCTGATCGGGCAGAGCTGAGCATCCATGGCTCAACCCCAAATTAAAGGCTGTGATATTCCCTTGTCAGATCTTCCTTCTACAGGTGGTATCTGCACCATGCACTCTAACTCCTAATCCATGAAGATCTTTTGCCTTCAGATTATTAGGAAAACACGCCAGAGTGATAGCTCAGTAGAATAAGCGCTTGTCTGGCAAGCACAAGGGCCCGAGTTCAATCCCCAGTTCTGAAAAAAAAAAAAAATAGCAGGAGAAGGCCATGTGGGAATGAGGATGAATCTTCCTAATTCTGATTCCTCATCCCTGATATGACAGACACCCAGAAAGGCACAGATACACAGACATGCACTGGCAGACTCACCAACCCACTGGATGCATTCTGCTTATCCTCCTTGCTCAATTTGTCATCAACGCATTGCTTAAGAAGTCTAGCATTTTCCTGTACTGCAGTGTCATCCGTGTTGTACCTTGCCACATATGCAACATACTCATCAGTGCTTCCATGTAAAAATAGAGCCACATCCTCCTTCACGGTTGAGCACAGGTCACCATCTGGAACACAAAGACAAGCTGAGCCTCCCATCAAGATTCTCTATCAGGGAAAATTCATCCCTAGCCCCACTAAGTATTGATCCGAACTGGCCTGGGAAGAGGCCAGAACCCCAGAGAAGCCATGGCCCACATGGCCATGTCCCAATCACGCACATGCGCCTGAGATCAGGAGCAGGGCAGCCCCAAGCAGGACAAGATCAGCAGCTGGCTTCATGGTGCAGGTGACAGGTGATCAGTACCTTGCTTGCTGTCCTTTTATAATTGCTCTGGGGACAGAAAAGGGCAGGGAGTGCTCTTGTCTGACAGGACCGGTGGAGGGAAGGGGGAGCTATGGGGACAGTATGTGTGTTGGCAGAGAGATAAGCTGCAGGGTCAACACAGGTGCTGGCACTTCCTTTTCCCTTGTCAGGCCTCTGCCCAAAGTCAAGGGACATAGGCATCTGAAGAGATGGATTCAAAGGGAAACCTGAGAGTGCAAAGGGCCAAA